AACAACAAGAACAAACAAAGTTATGAAGAGTGAACAGATACTTTCTAAACGGACACCAAGGTCCTGTGGTGACACCATCTTTCCACCAGGGGTCTGTCTTTTTTTGTCTTTCAGGCTGAAGCTTATGCGCTACACACTGAGCCTGGTGAGGTTCGAAGTGTCTGCACCTAAACATCGAGGCTCTGTCTTCCTCAGCCGACGTGGCTGCTCTTAACTTTAGTTTGCACAACACATGCTGAAAGGACTGGTACCAACACGCCATTTTGGCTTCCCACAGAAGCAGAGAGTATTATAAAAGTCAGAATTACATGTCATTTTGCTGACGTTTTTATCCAAAGCAACGTGCATTTCAACCATAAGAATACAAACCCAGAAGAAGAAGAAACAAGAAAGTGCAATTTCTTAACTTCTTAACTTAAAAGTCTAAACTGAGAAACTACTGTAGCTATCGTATGAGATTACTCACTAAATGCATTACATCAGAACATAGCTTTTTCGACTTGACATTTCTCTTTTCCAACTGAACATCATGACTTTTCTTTTAATTTAACATCTTTGTGTTTTTCTTTTTTGTCCTTCGTAGTGTGTTTAGTGTTCAAAGGTCCAGTCTTTCAGGAAGCTTAGAAAGTCTCTCTGACCTAGTCACTTGATGTTGGGGGCACTGGCACTTTCCTGAGGTGTGAACGGTTGCGTCGCAGCCGTCCTCCATCCGGGGGCTTGACCTTATATGAGCATGGTGTGGGTGCAGGGCCCACAACTGTTCCTCTAGTGCGTGAGGGTCTGATCCACACCTGCTGTCCAGATTGAAGAAGTGGCAGGGTTTGAGTGGGTGTCTCCGGTCGAATGTTTGTTGCTGTCGCAGTGTCCTTTTCTCTGAATTCCTTGAGATCAGGCCACTGTGGTTGTAGTTGCAGAGGTGACACTGGGACTGGTGTTTGGAGTCTCCTCCCCATCAGTAGTTGTGCTGGGGAGGTGCTGAGTGCCAATGGAGTAGCCCTGTAGGCCAGCAGAGCTTTGTCGAAATCTTCATCTTTCTCTTAGAGAGACTTAACAGTTCGGACGGCCCTTTCAGCCTCCCCATTGCTGCGGGGATAACGGGGGCTGCTTGTCACGTGTGTAAAGTCATAATCTCTTGCAAACTGAAAAAATCATGACAGGAAAACTGAGGATTGTTGTCCGTGATTAGCACTTCTGGGCATCCATACCTAGCAAACACAGCTTTAAATCTTGCCATAGTCTGTTTAGCTGTTGAGTAGGGTGCAAACCTCATAACATCCCAACTAAATAGTTCCCATTCTGCCATTGGAAAAGATCTGCTGCGACCCTCTTCCATGGTCTGCTCACGAGGTAAGTCGTGAGCCGAGGCTCAAAAGGTGTCTGAGCTTCACTTGCACAAATCTCGACCATCTGCTTTACAGCAGACGTGATGCCTGGCAAATATCCTGTTGCTCAACTGCACAGATCAAACCCAGAGATATATGACCTGGATTGTAACAGTGCATGAATGAGTTTGACAGATTTATTATAAGTGCTGTAGTTCAAGTTCAAGTTCAATTTTATTTATATAGCACATTTACAAACAACCTCAGTTGACCAAAGTGCTTAACAAGCTCGAGAAGCAGCGATACAATAAAACACAGACAAAGCACAATGTACAATACAAAATATCTGACAGTAGAGAAAGAATAAAGTCAAAATATAAAAGCTCAACTTGTATTAAAAGCCAATGAATAATAGTGGGTCTTAAGCAGGGACTTGAACGCTGCAATGGTCCGAGCTGTTCTTACATGGATAGGTAAACTATTCCAGAGGTTTGGAGCAGCCACTGAAAAGGCTCGGTCACCTCTGGTTTTTAACCGGGATCGAGGTACATCGAGGAGCATCTGATTAGACGACCTCAGTGCTTTGATAGGTGTGTGGACATGTAAGAGCTCCAACAAGTAGGAAGGCGACAACCCATTTAAAATTTAAAAAACAATTAATACAATTTTAAATTCAATCCTGAAACAAACAGGAAGCCAATGGAGGGTGGCCAAAGCCGGTGTAATGTGGTCGCGTTTTTTAGTCCTGGTTAAAAGTCGAGCTGCTGCGTTCTAGACTAACTGCAAGCGACGAAGGGATGACTGATCCAACCCAACATACAGTGAATTGCAGTAGTCTAAGCGGGACGTAATGAATGCATGTATGACTCTCTCAAAGTCTTTGCGTAGCAAGTAGGGCTTGACTTTAGCCAGGAGTCTCAGCTGGAAGAAGCTAGTTTTGACAACAGAACTAATCTCTTTGTCAAGTTTAAAAGCATCAAAAATCACTCCCAGATTTCTGGTAAAAGGACGAATTTGGGAGCCTAAAATACTGAGAGTATCTACACAGGCACTGAGATGTTCAGCACGTTCAAACACATCAACCTCGGTCTTATTGTCATTAAGACAGAGAAAATTCTGATCCATCTATACTTTGAGATCACTCAAGCAGTTTAACAGCGGCTTGATAGTGTCCTTATCATTGTTTTTTACAGGCAAGTAAATTTGTACATCATCAGCAAAACAATGGAAAGAGATGTTGGTTTTTTTTAAAAAGGGCAGCATATACAGAGAAAATAGCATTGGTCCCAAAATGGAACCTCGGGGGACCCCACAGGACAGAGGGGCAACAGATGAAGAGCAGTTACCAATGTGGACAGAAAAACTCTGTCAAGTAGGATTCAAACCATTTTAAGGCTATACCTGTAATGCCAACTTTTTGCTTGAGTCGGGATAAAAGGATAGAGTGGTTGACAGTGTCAAAGGCAGCAGTCAAATCTAAGAGCACTAAAACGGCAGAATTTCCTGAATCGACAGCTAAGAGGAGGTCGTTATAGACTCTTAGAAGGGCAGTTTCAGTGCTGTGGCGGGGCTTAAAGCCAGACTGAAACTTTTCATGAATACTAAAATCATCTAAAAATGATTGAAGTTGATTAAAAACCACCTTCTCCAAGACCTTAGATAAAAAGGGTAATTTAGAAATAGGTCTAAAGTTAGACAAAACTAACGGATCCAGATTTTTCTTTTTTAAGAGTGGTTGCACAACAGCATGTTTAAAAGCGGCTGGAACACACCCTGAGCTGAGAGATGGGTCCAGTATTTTATCCTTAACAGTGTTAAAAACATCTTGCATCAGTAAGCGTGCAGGGATACTATCCAGTACGCAGTTAGCCGGACGAAGCTGTTTGACAGAAAGAAGGTGTAATAAAGCAGAGTTTTACCTCCACGGAAGACCACACAGATGCGAAGGCCAGGTGTGGCCAGCCAGTGATAGAGTGTGAACCAAACAATGTTTGACACTTTCAGGGATTCCATCACGACACATTGCCACGAGTAAACACTCACAGACTCCTAATTCCTGTCAATTATACATAACAACACTGTATTTAGCTGATTCAGACTAAGTTTCCACGATCCTCTTAAAATTGAGCTTTACATTTGACATGATCTGTTTTTTTTCTATTGCACATCTGACCTTTAGTGTCAAGGCTCCATCACTGACCCCTTGTTCTTCTGTAACCATGCATGCTGTTACAGAGACACATCGTACATGAACATGATATTCACTTCTGATGTACATTCTATATACATACACATTATCATGCAAATGTACAGTATGTGCCATCATAAAACAGGGAGGAAATAAAGATCTGATGTGTAACTGTATCAAATGCAGTCAAGGTCAAGAAAGATAAAGACAGAGGGGAGAAAGGCTGCTTTGACAGTGTCGAGTTTCTGAGAGACATAAAGGAAAGATATCCTTCTTTGAAGCCTGAAAGGTGAGGGTCAAAAGACTGTCATGGTGGAGATGATTAAACAGTTTGCTCGGTCCAGAATTTATGAAAGAAAGTGCGTATAGTTAACTTCAGACGGATGGAAGCTGGGTTTCTTCAGGAAACTGAGCCCTCTCTTCTACTATTTCCGGTCACTACCGTCGTGAGACTCTGCCTGTGTGGAGATGTGCCTTGCTCTTTCCCATTGCAGAGCATGATGGAAATTGTGATGTTTCGGAGAAAAGGGTGAAAAGAATAGAATGAAGTGAAATACATGGAGGAAGCTCAATGAAGATAGATGAAACAGTAAGGGGGAAGTTCAGCCACTTTGAGCAAGTTGTCTCCAGAGTAAAAGAGAAGGAGGGATTTGGAGGAAGAAGAGCTTCATCAGTTGCATGACGAACACAGCAGCATCGTGTCTCCTCTCTGAGAATGAAAAGTCTTGAAGATGAACTTTGCTTTCCTCATCTCCTCAACTCCTCCTGCAGGAAGGCCATGCGTCCTCACTTTGTATCTATGCTCACTTACATTTTATTATCCTCCATCTCTCTGCTCACTGTGACTCTCAACCTGCTGGTCATCATCTCCATCTCCCACTTCAGGTATTCATTTTATTAATTTATTAAGCTGCTACATGGGAATAAGTAGTGGAAGAAATGGTTCTCAGGCTCAAATGAAAATATGTTGTTTCTTAATAATTGATAGGAAATCTGCTGCTAAAAAAAAGAATACGCTTGTTGTTTCCTTTCTTCTAAGGCAGCTCCACACCTCCACCAACCTCCTCCTCGTCTCTCTGGGCGTCTCAGACTTCTTTGTGGGCCTCATCGTGTTCTTTCAAATTCTCCTTATAGATGGCTGCTGGTTTCTAGGTGACCTGATTTGTATTCTGTATCTGTATGTAGCATACGTTATTACTTCTGCCTCAGTAGGAACCATGGTGCTCATATCAGTTGACCGATATGTGGCTATTTGTGAGCCTCTACATTATTCCAACAAAGTCACACAAAAAAGAGTTAAGATCTGTGTTTGTCTGTGTTGGACATGTTCTGCTTTCCTTCAGACTCTGCTGCTGAAAGATAACCTTGAAGAACCAGGCAGGTATAATTCCTGCTTTGGAGAGTGTGTCGTTGTGATTAACTACATTGCTGGACTCGCAGATTTTTTTTTTAGTTTTATTGGTCCCGTCACTGTCATCATAGTTCTGTATATGACAGTCTTTGTGGTGGCTGTGACTCAGGCTCGTGTCATGAGGTCTCATGTTGCAGTTTTACCTCTAAAGGTTTCAATGAACATAACTGCTAAAAAATCTGAAATGAAAGCTGCCAGGACTCTTGGTGTTGTTATTGTCGTCTTTCTGTTGTGCCTCTGTCCGTATTATTGTTTTTCACTCTCAGGCCAGGACACCTTGTTTAATGTCTCATCTGCTGCTTTCGTAATTTGTGTGTTTTATTTCAACTCGTGTCTTAACCCTCTGATCTAGGCCTTTTTTTACCCCTGGTTTAGAAAATCTATGAAGCTCATTGTTACTCTTGAGATACTGCAGCCTGGTTCATGTGAGAGAAACCTGCTGTAGCAGCCTGATCTCCAAAACCTGTTCTTAAAAATGTATACGAAAATCTTGAACATACAAATTTGTAGTGATACATACTAAATGAATACGGACTGCAACTGATGATGTCACTCTATTCAAAGTGAATGGGGACCTGAATCCCGTACACACTTCGTGAAGTCTAACGATGTAAAATAAACGTGTTATGATTGCATTTTTAATGAGAAATCAATGTAAAATAGTAAGAATAGAATACTAACCCTAACCCCCTCAAAAAATCCAACACAGTGTTGTTCACTCAAGGGGCGTGGTTAACCACCGCCAGGTCGTATGTATTGTTACGAACGTATGTTCAAGATTTTCGTATATATTTTTATGAACAGGTTTTGGAGATCACGTTGGCTGTAGAGACACTGCATGCTCAGAGGAATAAGACAATAAAATGTACTTGGTCATGTTGAATTACCAGATAACCTTGGTCCAGCAAATTTGAACATGTAGATTATATTTGTGTCTTTACATTGTGTCCTGCTGCTCCAATAATACTGAACCAATTTTAAACAAATTCTACCCATCAAGTTATTCTAGGAAATCTGTTGCCTGACGTGTGAAACCAACATGTACTAAACAATAATGGTGAGTAAACATTATTGACTTGATTGAGGTGGATTAATATCCTTTCTATTTCTTTCCCTCAAGTTTACAAAATCACTCCAAGCTGTGACTCTGAAAATAACACATTATACATTTCCATAGAGGACAACCACTATGAATTAAATGAGCCATAATTCTTCTGTATTCTTTTTCCGATCGCAAAAACTGAGAGGAATTAAATATTGACCGTGATATTTGAATGCACAGAGATACTGTGCAGCAGAAAGATCACTTGTTAAACATTAAAGTTTAAAAGTTTAGAAATGACACAGCCAAACTTCGGCTTTGCAGTTATGGAAAACCACAAGGGAAATACTTTATATCTTGTCTGCGGTCTGCCTCAACCCCAACCTATCCCGTCCTGAATATTCATTCATACATATCAGGGCTTGACATTAACATTTTGCATATATAGATACACATTTATACAACGTAAACAAAACGGCCGCTGGCTGCAGTCAGACACAAGAGCAAGACGGTATCTCAAGATGAAGAGAGCTTTTTGCATTGGAAGTAAGACAAACAGGCGCGACATACAGCAGAGAACTGTGCAGAATTACTCCACAATTCAAACGGACCAGTTAAAGCACCACTATGCTAAGCTAGCTGCTACTTCCATCTCAACATCTAACGTTACTCTGCGTGGCTGTTTGAAAGCGTCCTGCTAAATGTGAGGAGATTGTTTGTTGAGATTGTTGAGATTGTGACTGGAAGCTATGCTAACAACCACATGGCAGGCTACGTGTGGCTACGAGCTAGCAGTGTTGCTCGAAGGCCACGTTTGTTCACCATGTGTGTTCCTTGTGTAGTTAAACATCTGTAAGTAAATCTTTTATTATTTTGTTAGCAAATGATAAAACAAATTAAGAAAAAGTCTCAAAGTTTTGAGACAACCTTCTGACAACCTTGCCTACAGGCAGCATATAGGCTACAGGGTAAATGTAATGTCAAGTTAGACAATAGACAATGATAAAATAAAGTAAAAGTAGAATCTGATAATAGCAGACAATGAAAATGAAACATAGTATTAATGACAAACGTAAAAATCCGTAACACGTAAAAACAATCCAGTGCTAATGTATGAGGTCAAATGGGCCGTGATACAATGTGTGTGTTATAACATGATGGAATGAATCAAATGACAATAGATCTCCAACCGGACCCTCTCTGCTCCCACTCTGCATGTCACGTTGTGGGTTTGTGTTCTGTTTTACATCTTAGTTTCCTGCCTCTTGTGTCCTCTTGGTTAACTTCATCTCCTGTCCTGTCATCCCCTGTGATTGTCTGCTGTGTCCCTGATTGTTTCCTCCTTTGTCCAATCACCTGCACCTTCTCAGTGTATTTAAACCATGTGTGTCTCTTGTCGTTCCATTGAATGTCGTTACCACGTTTGTGAGTCCCTGTCCCTGTCCCTGTCCACTGTCTCTGGTACCTGTCCCCTAGGCAGTTTGATTTTCAATTGGTAATTCAAGTATTTTTGTGCCTGAAGTCTGCGTTTGAGTCCCTCTTCCGCACCCCGTCGTGACACTGCAACAGCGTGACCTCCGCCTGTACTCAAAGTGTCCTCTCTCACACTAAAACAGAAACAATGGCCAATTTTTGTAATCATTTTGTATCAGGTGACAACTGTAATACGCAGCACTAATAACTGGGAGTGTTGGCAGTGAGGTGGCAGACTCATTGTATTCTCCACATGAATTGGCCTTAAGCCTGTAGAGAAAAATCACTATGAGAATCTTTTCAATGGCCAAGAAGGTTTTCACATTCAAGTAATTCGCTTTGGTGGTTGTTGCATGAACGAAGACAATAAAGTACAATAAAAACATTTTATAAAGGCCTGTTATTCAAAATGAGCCTGTCAAGATAGTGAAAAGGTTCACAATATGAAGAAAAACAATTACAGAGAAAGTAAAAGTAATAAATAATCCCTGCAAATAACACTTCTACTATCTAATCTAATCTTGATATTGATATGCTTTAAATTAGTATTGTCTTCATGCTGATAGTAAATTAGCATATAATGTGTGTGTGAGTAGGTGCATGGAACTTATAATAGTACATTCCATGAAGAACCAACACATGATCAGAAAGTACTGGGTCAAAGGTCAACATCAAAACACATTACGGTCATCTCCAGCGGAAGATGAGCACGGAAACTATTGTTCTTTAATCTACGAAACAACAGCAGAGGTGATGCAGTAGGAGGGGTGGACCCAAAGTAAAGAGGCAAATCAGTTGTAAGATAAGAAGCTTTGGCCAGTCAGCTGAAGCTGTTCTGCAGCTTCTCCTCTCTGGTGATGGAAACCTTGGTGGGAACTGAGCTTTGCTTTCCACAACTCATCAACACCTCCTGCAGAAAGACAATTCGTCCTCACTTAGAAGCAATGTTGATTTATATTTTGTTGTCCTCTTTGCTCACTGTAGCTCTCAACCTGCTGGTCATCATCTCCATCTCCCACTTCAAGTAGTGAAATATTTCATTTATTTGTGAAAGTGGTAGATTAAAACCTGTGTTACAAATTTGTAGATTTTGGTAATTCCTTTTTATTGTTTATTTATATCTGATAGATGCCATAATCCCATAATTATTGATTCGAATATCATTATTTGTTTCCCTCCAGGCAGCTCCAGACCCCCACCAACCTCCTCCTCCTCTCTCTGGCCGTCTCAGATTTCTTCGTCGGTCTCTTGATGATCTTTCAAATAATGATAATAGACGGCTGCTGGTTGTTCAGTGATCTCATGTGTTCTCTTTGGTTGATTGTATTAGCCATTATTACCTCGTCCTCAGTAGGAACCATGGTGCTCATATCAGTGGATTGATATGTGGCTATTTGTTATCCTCTGCATTACTTCACCAAAGTCAAACCAAAAAGAGTTCAAGTCTGTGTTTGTCTGTGTTGGATGTTTGCTGCTTTAATTTACAGTGTGCTGCTGAAGAATAACCTGCAACATCCAGGCAGGTATAACTCCTGCATAGGAGAGTGTGTCTTTGACATGAACTACATCACTAATGTTTTTGATCTAATTGTTTCATTCATTTTTCCCATTACTGTTATTGTCATTCTATATATTAGAATATTTGGGGTGGCTGTGTATCAGGCTCGTGCCATGCGGTCTCACATTGCAGTTGTGACAACAAAAGTAACAGTTAAAAAGTCTGAAATGAAAGCAGCCAGGAATCTTGGTGTTGTTGTAGCTGTGTTTATGATATACATTTGTCCATATTATTGTTTTGTTCTAACATCCCAAATTAACGTGTACACAGCTTCATCTGTAACCATTTTAATATGGTTGTTATATTCTAACTCCTGTCTCAACCCTCTGATCTATGCCATTCTCTACCCCTGGTTCAGAAAATCAATCAAGGTCATTGTTACACTTCAGATACTGAAGCCTGGTTCCTATCGGACCAACGTGCTTTAGAGACACTGCATGGGTCTAAATTTAAACCTTTAGCCTGAACAACAATTTGAAGAATTTTATTCATGGTGCAAAATAAATCAGGAGTTCCCTTTTCACCTCAACTTATTGGGCCAAAGCAAAAGGTCAATTTGTTTCCTCGGGCAGATCAATAACCCGGTACAGCTGTATTTTACAACACTATCACTCTGATACTTTCCCTTGTTACCCTGCCACGTTTATCTTTATTATGAACTGATATGTAAAAAGCGCAAGCACATGTTAAAATCAAGCCAAGCATCTTCTAAATGTGAAAGAAAAACATAAAATGGAATAGATTGTGCTTTCGAATTATGTGACAAAATGCATTTAATACAGGATAAATATGTTGAATCCATAAACAATATCATCTTTTATTATATTAAACTATTTTAATAGAAATTAAGGTATTCAGAATTATATGATTTTATGTAAGTAATGTACAGTATAAGTGAGTCATTATATCGGCCCGAAAAGGGCATGCATTTATATATTCAATATATCTGAAATGTGAACCATGAATTAATTACATTACAGTATAAACATCTTAGTGTGAGAAAGAACTAGTGCTGATTGCTATTGGCTTATATTCAGTAGAAAAATATGCAACACGGTATTGATGCTTTCTAGTTGATATTGATCTATTGTAGACAAAACATCTGTACTGTAAGGTTTTCTTTGAATAAAATGTAAAACACAAACATTTCAAATGGTGTATCATGCCAATAACCACTATAGAGAACAAAGAAATAGGAAATAGTTGATGCTTATACTAGATATAGTTGATATAGATGAATTAGTTGATTTGCTATAGACTTGTTGACTATATTGTGATTAAAAGTTGTGAATACGTCATAAGTTTCACATTACGATATTTGTATTTACAAATAAAAGCTCAATTGCTTTTTCTGGTCCACAAGAGGATCCACAAAAGGAGTTTCTTTTGGCTCAGCTATGGGGGAAGTAAGCAGGATTGGACAATGTAGAGTGTAACACAAACATTCTGCTTGACTCCCAAAGTGTGGGCCACAAAGGTACTGCAGGTGGGCCGCGAGAGGTCATTTACAATAAATAAATAAAAAGTTTTTAATTTTCAATTTTGAAAAGTTTGAAATTAATTTAAAAACATGTATGATGCGGCACATTAGTTGTGTGAAACATTAATTGATGAAGCACAAACAATTTAAACGAACAGACTGGTTAATCGGTTGATCCATACTGGTTGTACACGGCGCTCAAGGTGCTCTGCCAAACATGCCAAAGCTCGGTCTACGACGGCGAGATGCTGAGCGGCGCTCAAGCGCGTGAGATATGGAGCTTGTTTCAGGGCGCGTCGGAGAAACAAAGCTGTCGTTCTGGCCGAGCACTTCATGAGATTAAAGAGCGAGAGACGGTGCCCTTTTCTCGAGTGACAGCGAGATCCTCCTTGTGGCAGTGGCAAGTGAGTGGCATCAAACTTGAGAGCCCTGTATATTATTTGAGACACGTGAGCCCTCCTACCCCCCACACGGAACCCGCCGGTCCAAACCTAAAAGTAAAAGGAGGATCTCGGCCCTACTGCTTTTCTCTACAGTAGCTGAACCATCTTAACGGGGAAAATAAGTTATTCTAAAAGGAGCCCTTGGCAGGCCTGGACTGTTTCCTCAGAAATGTCAGTAAACGTCTCGCTTGTCCTCGTGGCTTTGAGAGCACTGATCAAGCTGTTGATCCCGTCCTGACATTTTTTTATGTCCTTGTGTGGCAGCACGAGATTACATAATCGCGCCAAGTTATGGCAATTTAACTACAGTGCCACCTTGTGGCAGAACGGACACCCTGGGAATTTCACCCAGAGAAAACTAATAAGGTCACGCAGGTAAATCACAAAAGATGCCAAAGGCGTGGTTCAATGTACAAAAAGGGGTTATAAGTTTATTACAATAAAATACCAGGATCCATAAAACAATTTAAAACACGCTCACAATCTCCACAACAAAAGGGGAATTAATGGGGGCAATAATGGTCAAAAATAATAAACTAAATAATGAACGCTGAGGCTTACCAGTGGTTGTGGAGGGGACACGAGGGCAGCGGGGGAGGTTTACATTACATTACATTACATTACAGGTCATTTAGCAGACGCTTTTATCCAAAGCGACTTACAGGACTGACACACTTCAGTCACCTGGCCAAGAGGGCGATAGGAGGGAGGAGACTACTGTTGTTTTTTTATACCGGTCCCTGCGCTCTGATTGGTCCCGCGGGCATACGGTGATTAGGAGTCTACTCCTACTGCTACACTTGCTTTGCAGAACCTGAAAAAGTGGTTCTGTGAGGCCGAAAATGGACTGAAAGACCCCGAACAGGAAGGAGAAAACACAATCCCAAAGTGTTTGTTTCAAGGCTGCAATAGTGTCCCTGTCCTATCCTGGTTCTGTCATAATCCTGTCAAAAGCCACACATAGCGATGTCGTCCAACATGGATGGCATGTACTGTGTGGCTTTCAAAGTTCCACCTCAAGACAGAACCTCTTGGTACACGCACAGCCCACCTCACACACACAACAATGCTGATCTTTTACATGATCGCGAGAAAAAACTGTGAAAGGCATCAAGATCGGCAAAAAAAAGTGTGTCTGGTTGAATGTTATTTGTGCCTTGTACTAAAACCGAATTTAGCTTATGTGCATAGCAGTGGATGAATAACCCGTTGGGGTGGTGCACATTCACTAAAGCCTGCACGCCGCCTGCTGTCCACTCATACAGCTCACGCCATCATAAGTCTGACAAATTAGTTTGTAGCTGTCATCACAACTGATGTTATGGCTTTTGCATCTCGATCATCACTGACATCATAAAAGCCTGGAAAGGCAAAGTGTGACACACACACACACACACACATTGCCTTTCTCATTTACATATCCGATTATGACAGTGAGTTGGCACTTGTTGGATATGTCTGATGTGTCATCCACTTGTGGAGCAATGAAAGGGGCGTATTTCTTATTAGTCTCATCCCAGATAATGTGAGCGATGCTTTAATGATGTCATTTTGTATGGTGTTTGACACACCGCTGAAGACTGTTGATGAGCCCAAGTGCTCTACAAGAGTGTTGTCAAACTCCACAAAATTGCCCGTTTGCACTGCCAGCGGCCTCATTGTGCCCCCAGGATGCTTGTTCTTGGCGCACAAGGTAACGATGTTTTTTCTGCACCTGCTCATTGTGCTCAGACTTTTTGCAAAGTCCAGCGCCTCATTAATCCTGACGCGTCCAAACAGCTTCAGTTTCCCACCGCAGTGACCACGTGTCTTTCAATTGCCCGAGACAGGTTGGCAAGGTGGGTGAATCCTGTGGTAACCCAGGTATTGTTCAAAGACCAGGAATCCTTGTCAAAAAGGAGACAGCAAAATAGCCGCTAAAGATTAGCGCTACCAGCTAGCCGCTCACTGCGGACGTCATTTTTCGCGTTGAAAGTCCGAAAACTTTTCTTCCTCTCAGCACGGAGCTCTAGTTTTGGTGTTGGCCTGCCGTCAGATTTCATCCGGAGTTGCTGCTGTAAAGGCAGCTTAGTAAAATTATTTTTTACGAAATATACCAAATCTCCACCCTCCATCATTGCGCTTAATTCTTTCACTAGCTTACCAACACAAATCTTCCGTTATTTCATTCAATGACGTTGATGACGTACTGTGATTTGATTGGTGTCCTGACCAATCCAAAGGAGCTGTGTCGTCACAATAGCCCCGCCTGATTGGTTAATCATTCTTTTTCTTTTTTTCATCAAGGGAGGCCAACTCAGCTCAGCTTCCTCACGGACACAACTGCGTGTACTAAGCATGTTTTACACTACCATGTTTTCAACCCTCATTCACCACGTAACATTGAGAGGGCCGCTGTTTTACACATCATAAAACGCTTAATAATGAATGAAGAGAGACGTGGAGGAGACGAAAGACGCAACAGAGAGGGATTACGTAAAACGTTAAAAAGTGTTTTTATTAAATGGCTAATCATTAATGATGATTAAATCAGTTATATTCTGAAAAAAGTGAGGAAGCCTGGCTTCCCTTGGCCTCTGCAAGAAAACGCTGTTGTCATCTGATATAAAATGATTCAGGTTAGATTTGACTATTGCAATACCAAATATTGCAATATATTGCAACTTGTTATATTTCAGCATTTAAATACTGCATTTTTCTTTTTTATCTACTGAAATCCAGTTTTCACTTGGTTCATCTCACTCATTTTCATAGCCGCAAAATGTTTTTCTCTCGGTCAAGCAGAACGTTTGCGTTACACTCTACATCGTCCAATCCTGCTCACTTTACATTACATTACATGTCATTTAGCGGACGCTTTTATCCAAAGCGACGTACAATAAGTGCATTCAACCATAGGGTACAAACTCAGGAGAACAAGAAACAAGAAAGTGCAATTTCCTCAAATAAGCCAATTTACAATTTGCTATAGACGAGTGACGTTACAAGTACAATTTAAGTGCTACAGTTTGTTAGTCTTTAGTCGAGGTAGAGTCTGAAGAGGTGTGTCTTTAGTTTGCGGCGGAAGATGTGAAGGCTCTCTGCGGTCCTGGTGTCTTCAGAGAGCTCGTTCCACCATTTCGGCGCAAGGACAGCAAAGAGTCGAGACCTAGTCGAGTGTTTTGCTCTCAGTGAGGGAGGGACGAGTAGTTTTGCAGATGCAAAGCGGAGAGTGCGGGTTGGGATGTAGGGTTTGACCATGTCCTGGATGTAAGCTGGACCCGATCCATTCACAGCATGGTACGTGAGCACCAATGTTTTGAATTGGATGCGGGAAGCCACCGGTAGCCAGTGAAGAGAGCGGAGGAGTGGAGTAGTGTGGGAGAATTTCGGAAGGTTGAAGACCAGTCGAGCTGCTGCATTCTGAATGAGCTGCAGAGGTCGAATGGCGGTGGCAGGGAGACCAGCCAGGAGGGAGTTGCAGTAGTCCAGGCGGGAGATGACAAGAGCCTGAATCAGTACCTGC